CCCCCCCCCCCCCCCTGCAATATTTGCACAGATGCATATACATCATATGTAATACGTCTTATGCTGCAGCTATGCGGCTAATTGATATTCGTAGGTATACGCGAGTAATTATCTGCTTACACGATTTATGTACAAGTTATCACGATTTCAGGTAGCCGAGAGGATCAGTAACGACGATGTGAAGCATCGCTTTATACTGCGCGGTAACGATATTCAGCGCTTGTTTACATTCAATATAATATAACGCACGTACACACAAACACACACATGCATACATTCCATATTCCTCTGCCCCTTGATGTTTTTCAAATAATTATCGCAAATTAGCCTAAATTTTATCTTAATCATTTCTCCATTGTTTTTTTTACTACGTTTACCAATAAAGAAATTCGTTTATTCATGCGAGCAACAACTAAGCGGAACAACGCAGATTGTGTCTCCGTAGGATTAGTAATTTTTTTCTCTTGACAAAGCGAAATCGATGGGAGACGGCACAAAAAGCGTCTCTTACGCACGAGATGCACTGTTGTGTCTAACACTAGGAAAAGAATAGAACGCGCTACGTCCTTGCCGCCGAACACATATAGAGACACATCTACAATTATCTTACTAATCATTAATAGTTAAATATCACAATCTATGATAAGAAATCCGCGTATATGCGTCTTGCCGCATCGCTAGCTACCCGCGCGTTCTTCACCCGTCGGAAAATTGCGGTGCGCAGAGATGCAAATCAACGAGTACGTACAAAAATAAATAATCGTCTTGGGTGAATACAGCGGGATCGTGTAGCTCACTAATCTGTCTGCTTGGGTCCGCGTGCAAACCTACGTGGTACGCGCCTACGATTTATTCGGAACGATCGATCAATCGTCCTAAAAACGAAGCGCTAAAAATAAAACAGGCCTGAATTGTAGAAAAGAAATATATCGATCGATTTTTGAAAATTTCTCATCTATATACAATAATATATATATATGTATATAAATTTAATTCTCATTTATGTCATACATTTGACACATGCGACACAATCCAATAATTATATAGCAATTAAACAGTAACACACCTACACTACAATATTTAACTATATACAAATATAACAAATTTTGTTCGTTTTGTATTCTAGGGATAAGGAAGAATAAAGATCTAGCATTTTATCAGCGCTTTAATCAGTGCGATAATCGATCGTGCCAATAGTCGTTCGCGTAGATTTATGCAGACTTTTACTGATGAGCGGAAATGAATACAAATTTACTAGTGAAAATAGATTTATGACGCCTTCATCAAAACATTCCATTTAAATTATTATTTCTGATATTTATCGTATATAAGAATTCAAATCTAAAATTTTTTATTTAAATTTTCATCCACTGATCTCTTCAATTTATATATCGAAATATATATGTAATTCACTCGAAAGAGATTATGTTCTATTTTTGTTCCTTTTATATATTATTGTATTTACATTATAAATCTCTCGTTTGTGAAATTCAAAGTAACGTAGAATGAAATCAACTTGAAAAATAAATCACTCGGAGCTACAATTTCTATATCCTTATGGCAAAAACGGTAAAAAAGAAAGAAGCGGAAATATCGTTAAATAATGACGCTTCGTATTTTCAGAGTACATATGTATAGGTATATATGCAAAAGGGATAAGAGATCGTGATTAATAAAAAATATATATATATGTATGTACAATTGAGATTGTACAACTATATGTATAGACAATCTGTTTATATTCATGGAGAAATAAGTCAATGTTTTTTTTCTATGCAAAAACTATGTTTTTTTTATAGAGGATACTAAACGCTTTTCTATATACAACATGGGGCAGATAATCTGCGATCTATTTACAAAATTTATGCACAATTCAGTAAAAAATGCACTGTGAAAACAATTGCGTACTTATAATTTTATCGTTCGAAAGTTCTACGTGCAATTATTAATTTTTCATTTAATTAAGTTTAATCTGGTTCAAAATGTAAAAATTATAAAGAATATTGCATAAATCATGATATTTTTCTCTATCAAAAGAACATTTTGAATCTTTAAAGAGCCCAGCAAATAAACTTTGTATTAAAAATAATTTGTAATATATATATCGTGGTTTAACAATTTCAATCCTAACTATGATTATGAAATCGAGATGTATATTAAACAATTTCATAATTATATTTTTAGTAGAAAGATCTAATGAAAGATTTCACCACAATCAAAGGTCGCTTGATTTTTATAACAGAAATATCCCTGATACAAAACATAAACTCTTACCTTGAAAAGCACTTCGAAATCACCTAATAAAAAATTCGTTTCCGCAATCACTGTAAGAGAGTCGTGACACGTGTTGTTAAGAAAACAGAACTGAAGGAATGTTCTGCAACGTGATGAGCCGTATAATAAAACTCTCAGTGAGGATTCTATGTATAAATTATGATATCGCAATGTTGTTATGCATTCATTCATTCACTGTTATCGAGACATGCTCTCAATTATTCTCGTATCTGTTTATCTCTCTTAATCTCTTTGTATCTCTATTTTACATTGTAAATTCAGCAAATAAATGGAAATAGAGCATCAACCCGTTTCTTCTTTTTATCGAGTTACGTGAGTTCAGGTACACGTCCACATACGCGATCATCATAGGCCGTTGATCGAGAATTCTTCACGATCTCGATGCTCCACGGCAATCAATGCATTCGTGATCTGAGTTTGACAGATTCGTACTGCGCGATATTAGTAGTGAAAGATCACATCGCGCATTTCAAGTTGGACAGGAGTGTCGCCCAAGGTGATACATCGCAATTGATCTCATTGCGCGAAGTAATCATACATGATAGCGAAAATAAGAGTCTTCCCCCCTCGACGGGCTGTGGACGCAACATCGACTGTGTAGCGACGATGACTAGGATGATGACGTGGGCGACGGTGAAGAAAAAGGGGGTCGCATGAAGATAAAGAGGTAGACAAACGACGCCCGCGGCACACGGTCCTCAGCCCGGAGTGGGTGGGGTCTTATGTCAGTGAATATTGAAGTTGTATTGTTTGCGGCTGGAAGAGATGCGGAGCCACCGACTAACCGCCAATGGCTCCGGATGACAATTCGACCAGGAGATGTCGCCGAAGTGAGGATATGGCGAAGACGTGGTCGTTGCTTCGACCTGGATCGACGCAGACGTTGGAAAATCTTGCGACGATTGGCACAATTGCTCATGTTGTGACTTGTGCCTTTTTTGTTGCCGCGATACCGAGCTCGCATGATTCAGTCTCTTGCCGTTGATCTGACTGGCATGCTGTTGCTCCAGCTGTTCCACCGGTTCGAACAAATTCAGACTCGGCATGGAAACTTGCATTTGCTGATAGTTCCTGACTGAGATTGGTGACTGTGATGAATGGCTATTTGGCCGTGACTGTATCTGCATTAGTAGTTGGGATTTAGTGTCTTTGGTAGTGTAAACGGGCGAGTACATGGATATGGTCTCGGCATCGATGTCCACAGGAGTCTCGCCTTCGAGCACAGTGGCGACTACCGTGGGTGGTTGTATGCAAGTGGTTGGCAGTGGTGCCGGTACGACTGGCATTGTGGGCGTCGTGGTAGTACTTGGTATCAAAGTGGCTATTCCTGATGACTCTTCGCTGTTGGTACCCGGTAATGGGGATAGTGACGGTAGCATTACGGATATTGGTGCCATCATCGAACTTGACTGCTGTTGTGATGACCCGCTGCTGCTATTGCTACTACTGTTGCCAGCGATGGTAGAATTGACCACCAGCGTCGACTCTAGATTCCGCAGCTCCTCCGAATTGACAAAGTCCTCTTCGAGTTTGGTCTAAAAAAGAAAAACATTGACAATACGTAGAGTAAGAATCATAGGCCCCGTAAGAAAAGGTGGCGTTTAAGTGTCTAAAAGAAATCATGCCTTACAGGTTTAGTGGAGCCATGCGGGGCCAGACACCGATAAAGCAAATCAACAGCCTGCAATAACAAAAACAGAAAACAAGTATCAACCGACACCCTCTGCGTTTGTCTTTATGCACGCTAGCTTGTAGTTGTATCCCGACGCTGACTTGACTGGGTCGATCGATCCATGTTTGTCAGCAGAATCGCATAATTCTATATTTCTTTTTTTGTTTCTACTTTAATTACGAAATATTTCTTACATCAAAGAAAATTATAGAAGATTAATAACATTTTTCTTTCTGTCAAATAGCTAAAATTAAAAAAATTGTGTTTAAGGTAAATTGAAAATAAGAAATATTATTACATATTTTTAGAACAGTCTCGGTTCTTTTATATATTTATTAAAAATAAATTTTATATGATAAAAAGAAACATTTCTAATACAAAAACATACGTATTCAGATAAATTTGTTCTTAATAAATATTAAAATGTGGATCTATAAAATAAAATATTAAATTAAATTTAAGAACATAGTGATATGAAATATTGGATCTGGTATTTATTTCTGTATGTAAGGTGTGTAAAAATTGCAAAATTCTTCTGATGTTATTCGACTCCAGATACTTGCTCGGATTTCAATTTTCTGAGAACTATTAAAATTCTTAAAACACACAGTCATTTAAACTTGACTTGATGAAATTTGAAAAATAAGCTTGAAATAAATTTATCTTTACATTTCCAGAAAGTATATTTCTGCATTACCTTCTTCGAGCCAGCCTTTCAATATCACTAACACTTATAACAGTATGCAGAAATGAAAGTTCTTTTTAAAGCATAATAAAAAATAAGAATATCATGCATAATATTCTAAACTTATCGAGACATACACAATAATTTCGACAAAAAAGTACGAAAGCCATATATTCATCTCCCGTATTTTTCTCAGATGCAAAGTTATGAAAATAATAATATGTGTACACAAAAGAACAATACTTGTACAATTTTATTTCAACTACACACAATCAAACTGAAACTTTCATTTCACCATTGCGCCAGCAATCTTGTTTTCTTGATACAGATTGTTCGCGCAAAAGTCTAACCATAATAGTAACAATAGCGTGGCAAAAATGAAGAAGATTCACACCGAGGATAGTAGACAGAAATAGGAGAATCAGGAAGAAGGAGAGAAAGGAAGTATGTGTGTGTGTGTGTGT